CCTGATGTTTAGTATGTTTCTGACTGCAGAGCAATGCTTCTTGATTGCCTGGGTGGAGGATGGAGAACTGTGTGAATGTGTGTGGAAACTAGCCTGCTGCATAAAGGCAAAATCTGCATATATTATTCCACCCTCTGTTGCCTCTGGCCCCACTCACCACTGCCTTGTGGCATCCATAAATATGCCTGGAAATGAATAGGACCTTCGGGCTGGAAATGATCCCCCCACCTCTGCAACATAAGCCTTTCCCAGTGCTAACTGGAGTTACCTGGGACTTTGTTGCAGGCCAAGCCTGAGTTTAGGACTTTCCCTACAAGAATCCAAAGGTGGGGATTTAAAAAAGCAGCTCAGTAGCAATCATAGAATCGTAGAATCATAGAGTTGGAATAGACCACAAGGGCCATCGAGTCCAACCCCCTGCCAAGCAGGAAACACCATCAGAGCACTCCTGACATATGGTTGTCAAGCCTCTGCTTAAAGACCTCCAAAGACGGAGACCCCACCACACTCCTTGGCAGCAAATTCCACTGTCGAACAGCTCTTACTGTCAGGAAGTTCTTCCTAATGTTTAGGTGGAATCTTCTTTCTTGTAGTTTGGATCCATTGCTCCGTGTCCGCTTCTCTGGAGCAGCAGAAAACAACCTTTCTCCCTCCTCTATATGACATCCTTTTATATATTTGAACATGGCTATCATATCACCCCTTAACCTTCTCTTCTCCAGGCTAAACATGCCCAGCTCCCTTAGCTGTTCCTCATAAGGCATCGTTTCCAGGCCTTTGACCATTTTGGTTGCCCTCCTCTGGACACGTTCCAGTTTGTCAGTGTCCTTCTTGAACTGTGGTGCCCAGAACTGGACACAGTACTCCAGGTGAGGTCTGACCAGAGCAGAATACAGTGGCACTATTACTTCCCTTGATCTAGATGCTATACTCCTATTGATGCAGCCCAGAATTGCATTGGCTTTTTTAGCTGCCGCGTCACACTGTTGGCTCATGTCAAGTTTGTGGTCAACCAAGACTCCTAGATCCTTTTCACATGTACTGCTCTCAAGCCAGGTGTACCCATCTTGTATTTGTGCCTCTCATTTTTTTTTTGCCCAAGTGCAATACTTTACATTTCTCCCTGTTAAAGTTCATCTTGTTTGTTTTGGCCCAGTTCTCTAATCTGTCAAGGTCGTTTTGAAGTGTGATCCTGTCCTCTGGGGTGTTAGCCACCCCTCCCAGTTTGGTGTCATCTGCAAATTTGATCAGGATGCCCTTGAGTCCATCATCCAAGTCGTTGATAAAGATGTTGAATAAGACCGGGCCCAAGACAGAACCCTGTGGCACCCCACTAGTCACTCTTCTCCAGGATGAAGAGGAACCATTGATGAGCACCCTTTGGGTTCGGTCAGTCAGCCAGTTACAAATCCACTGAGTGGTAGCATAGTCAAGACCGCATTTTACCAGCTTCTTTACAAGAATATCATGGGGCACCTTGTCAAATGCCTTGCTGAAATCAAGGTAGGCTACATCCACTGCGTTCCCTTCATCTACCAGGCTTGTAATTCTGTCAAAAAACGAGATCAGGTTAGTCTGACATGACTTATTTTTCAGAAATCCATGCTGACTATTGGTGATCACAGCATTCCTTTCTAAGTGCTCACAGGCTGTTTGCTTAATGATCTGCTCCAGAATCTTCCCTGGTATTGATGTCAGACTGACTGGGCAATGCAGTGCTATCAACTGTAGAACTACACATAAGAAGCCAGAAAATGAATATTTTGTGAAATTGGCTCTCTCCAGAATCAGCAAATCTCAGTTAAAAGTGATACCCCAGTGTCTTAATGGAATTAAGTAATGAATTTACTGGAACCATAGGGATGTGCTCATAAACATCTTAGGAAGCCAGGTTTATGATGCTATTAATTACCTGGAAGGAAAAATAAGCAATCCATTAATTAAATTTTGCCACCTCTGCTAAAGCAGGAGGTGTTGCAGGCCTCCAACGAGAGGAGAAACTCACATTAAGGTTAAGATTCCTTCCATGGGAAGCAAAGCAAACAAGGTTTGGACTCTGGAAAATGTCTAATCAAAGGGGCCATTGGATATTGGACAAGAAGGTGATGCTTGTGAAAAATGAAGGCTGGAACAGGAAGCTTGTTAGAGTGAGTTATTGGGGAGACCCAGCTGCAAAAGCATCTGTTTGACAATACAGCATTGTACTATACACATGGAGGCATCACTCCAAAGAAGCAAACACAACAGACTCTTTCTTGGAGGTGATCTGATCCACTGAAACTGTGCATACAAAAGTATCCAGGGACTATGCCCAAACAACCCCTTGGAAAACTAAAATGGAGCCAAATTTCACAGATTTCAATGTTTGACGCTCCATTTGCATGGGGTGAGTTTCCACCGCCTCCCTTTGCATATATCTGTCCTTTTCAAAATACCGTATATTGCTTTTCATTTGAGGGGAAAAAACTCCATTGTGCATCTTTTAGAATGACATTTCCCTTAATACACTACACAGCCAGTTCTTTTCACTGATGTTGCATTCATTAAGTCCATTCACCCCTTCTCTGGTGGGCAGCTTTGTGGGTGGGTCCTGGGCCTCCTTTGGGCTAATTCGGAATTAAAGGGAGTTCCCCTGAACGCAGGGCCAACTGACCAATATCGGTGCTTGGCCCCACGCCCAGGGCAAGGATAAATTCCTGGCCTCCTGGGCCTTTCAGTCTCTCTCTCTCACCATTTCAGTTCTCCCATCCACCCTCCCTCCCTCAAATTAGGGTTTTTGTGGATGGTATGACCTTGCTGTGGACAATGTCGTTTGCCGTATTTTGGGGGCTGAGCAGGATTTTTTTCTCATCTGGAAAATTGGTTCCACCATTTGGATTTTCACCTACCTCATAGCAACTGTCACAACTTTGTAAGGCGGATAGACATTGGGAAAGCCTAGACTAGGTTGGAGGGCAGGTTGTAGCCTCTGCCTGCCTCTCCACAGGTAAGGGTATCCTGTTAAAAGGATCTGGGAGAAGTGGCTCCTGTCTGATGCCCAGATGGGGGCTAGGGCCATACCATACCTCCAATGGAGACCACTTGGGGGACAGCCCAATTTGACAGCCCAATACGATATAGGGCATCCGCCACCCACTGGCTTTACCCTTAGAAACTGAAAAATACTCGGAGTCCTGTAGTGATTCCATGCTCTTTATTGCAGCTTGTAAAACAGTGATTGAATTGCCCCCCAAACCTCAGGCTTTTATATACATTATTTACACAATGAGTTCCGTCTGATTGGCTGATTCTGCTTCCCTCCTGGAGCCTGATTGGTCTTTTCCTGCAAGCCAATCAGTTGTTGCATTCTAGGATCCTACTTGCCTATTGTTCTAGGATCCAAGCTACTACATAACAGAAACACTCCCAGTGGACAGGCAGGAGTGACACTCGAAGTTGCTTACCACAATGCCTATGGCCAAACCTTCACATCTGTAAGCAATAAAGTTGTGGCCTTCTTTGATTTCAAACCAATATGCCAGGTGTTGTCTAGTTATTTGCACCTTAGGTAACAGGATGGTTATGTGGCCCCGATATGCAAACAGTTGCCTTAAAGTGGAAAGGGACATAGCTTAGTGATAGAGTATCTGTGCTGCATGCAGACTAGTCCCAGGTTCAATCCTGAGCATTCCCAGGTAGGGCTGGGAATGTTCTCTGGCTAAGAATCCTGGAGAGCTGCTGTCAGACAGCGCAGACAAGACTGAGCCAAATTCACAAATGGTTTGACACGGAATGAGATAAGCTTCTGTTTTTTGCTATTTTTCTAGCAAGGACCACAGTTACCACTCCAGCAACTACTGCCACTGCTGCCACTGTGGAACCTGATCTCATTACCAGATTTGCCATGTCTTTTAGAAACACACATAAAGAACAGCATATCAACAATAGTTTCACAACAGGAACGTGTACATCTTCATTTATAGGAAAAGGATGTTTTCTAAAGTCTAGTTCTTGAGGAACAGATAGGAACACAGGCATCTGACTCTACCAGGTCAGACAGCTCCTCCCCTGACTCAGATGAGGCGCTAAACTTGTTTCAGTACCATTGCAGATTGCATTGTGGGGGCTCCCATAATTATTGAATCTGCCTCCATTTAAAAGAAAGTAGCCCCTGACTAGTCACTGGTTGGAATGTCTCATCACTTTTAAAGGAAACCAGCAGGGCTGTAGCACAGTGGTAGAGCATCTGCCTTGCATACAGAGTCCCATCAGCTCCAGGCAGCACACTGCAATCCTAGCAAGCCACTGGCAGTCAACAGACAGCACTGAGCTAGGTGGACTGTTGGTCTGACTAAGGTAGCTTCCTGTGTTCCCATAGTTTGCAATCTGGCCACCCAAGTCTTTAAGCAAAAGCAGCTCTACTGTTAAACAAGGTCAGGCAACCACCTCAGGTGGCAGGTGCTGAGGGGCAAAGGCAGGGGCAGTAGGCTCTTGGCAGTCCATCCTAAGCTACCTGACTATTCCCATCTGTTGGAGGACAGAGCTGTCCATGCTACATGGTTACATGGCTACAAAGTTAACTGTTAACTGCTGACTCTGGTGAAGTAGAGGGTGCTCTCCCATCACCAGCATTCATGTAAGATTCAACTGCCAGTCCCATGGTACAAGCAATGCAAACATCTCACCATGCCCTTTGACTCAGGGAGCAAAACTTATTGGGCCAGCCCTATCTTTATGTATAGACAAACACCATCTCTCTGTAGCCTCAAACAACCTCCCTGAGTCCCTTCACACAGCCATGTCAGAAAGAACCATACTGAAAAACAAAGAGCTGAAAGCCTGGCCAGTTCCCAAAAAGTTATGACAGAGAGGGAAGGAGGCGAAGGAGGAGATATTCAAAGAGTTTCTAAAAGGGGAAATGGGGAGGGGGAAGAACTAGCCCTTTAAGAAGGGGAACTGACTTGTAACATGAGAGGTATCTGTTTTAACCCAGCCCTGTTTCTGACTGGTGGGTAACTTCAGAACATCCCTCCCTCAGCTGCAAGCTTATTAAATATAGTAGTAGCCGAACCTTCAATTGAAAACAGACAGGCTGTGTCTGTAGCTTGTGCCTCCTTTGCGTGCTTGTTGCTCAGTGTCCGGGGAATGGTCTGAGTGCCGCTCTCTGGCCCATTCCAGGCAATACCATGAGGTCCAGCCTTCCTTCAGTGGTGCCTGTGCTTCTGCCCATGTTCCAGCTTCTGCTACATACACTGCCACTCCATGCAAACCCAGAGTCTGGAGGTAAGCCCCAATCTCTTCTCCTTCCGAAGTTTCAGCCACTTTTTCGAGAGAAAATGTTTGTTTGTCTGGGGGGGGTATATGGAGCATTTGCCACTGAGACGCATGGATAACAAGCATGCATGCAAAAGGACTTTCAGTGGATTGCTGCAGCATGTAGTTTTGTCCTAAAGCCACAGGATCAGTGAAGGAATGTGTTTAGGAGTTGTGTTAGGAAAACAGACAGAGAGGTCATTGACAGGTCTCAGTCACAACTTCCAGAGCCTCTATTATTCAAGCGCTTGGGTCAGGGTTTCGTTTTGGAGATGATCTGAATAAGATATGACAAATGCTTCAATGTGGGGTTGTCAGAGTGAGAGAGAGTAGGCACCATCCTTGAAGGTGCAGCTTCTTTTGATGGATGAGATGAGTTATCTGCCGGAGCCATATCCTTTGGTAAACCTGTTTGTGTCTGTTGAATTGGCTATGTTTGATCCTGAAGAAGTTGCCCTAAGAAATTTTACAATAACAGCCTCACTGGTTGAACACATTAGGTTGGGCTGTACCTGGGTGTACTTAGCTGTCTGCTCATGAGATAGGAAGGAAAAGTCAACCTCAAAGGCAAGATATGCCTACCAAGAGATGGGACTAGATGGAGCAGCAACATCTTTTTGAGATCTTCCTACAGAGAGACCAATCAGAGTGCAAAACTCCCAAGCATCTTTTCTTGCTGAGGGTCAGCTTGGAGCATTACCCTTTTTTTGCGGACTAAAAGCTACCAGAGCCACCAATAAATGGTTGGTGGTAGCAAATGAACAGTGCCAGCAGTGTGCGTTTTGTGTAGGGCTTTCACACACAGGAGCCTTGCTTATGAATGACTTGATGTTTGGAGCTGATTATGGCTTGCAGGCTCCTGCGAAAAACTCTTACACTAGTTACCCAGAAATCTGAATTGTGCTATGAGCTACAGAACCTAGTTCTCCAGTGTGGATCCAGTGCAGGACTCCCAATGGATGTCGGGACTTTAAAAGGAGCATGTTCGTTCACATTGTGGTTGTGCAGAGGAAAGTTAAAGGGTGTGGCCAGTACCTAAAGGCTGTGTGGGATTTCTGATGGTTGTGGCACTATGAATTCCCAATGGCCACATGTTCTTCTCTTTTATAGAAGTAGTGACTCTTTGGCAATGACCCATATGCATCTTTTGCATCTGAGGAATCAATTAAATCTATCTGTATCACTGGTCTTCAACTGGTGGGTCGGGATGGACTAGTGGGTCGTGGCCTGATTCATGCTGGGTGACAGCAGAGGCACCACTGGTAAAAGATTAAGAAATGGCTCCCCAGATGCATGTGTGGGTTAAGAGTGGGTCCTGGGTTTTTCCATGTATAAGACAATGCTTTTTGCTAAATATTGTTAGAAATATTTTTTTTTTGGGGGGGGTGTCTTTCTCCTTACATTCCCACGGCTGCTGTGAAGAAGCTGCCGGAACTGCCAATCCACTTCCATAAACCAGTGTGTGGACTTCAGTGAACCATTACAGGGTGACTGCAGCTGATGTTCTAATATACGGTAGGGGGTGCAGGGTGGCATGGGGGCTGCAGGGCAGCGATCTCCCCCAAAAAGGCAATGACTTGGGGTTGCTATTTCAGAGTCACTCTGTTTGATGTTTAAAATATTGATTTCTTAATTTAAGGTTCAAGAAAAATAGGGGTTGTCTTATACATGGGGGCATCATACATGGAAAAATATGGTACATTCTTATCACATTGTACTAGTGGAAGTGAAATGTTTGATATTAATTGACTGAGATGGGACTGGAATGTTTGATTGCTTGGGGAGCAGAGCAACAGGCTCTGTGAGGACAAGGGAAGTTGTTACTGTGGTTGAGATTAAAACCTCACATGAATTTCTTTAAGCAGCCTGAGGACTTGAAAGAAGTCCCTGGGAATCAGAGAAGCAAAAGGATTTAGTTGAGATTCCTGCTTTGCAGGGGGCTGGAGTAGAGGGCCCTCAGGGAGCCTTCTAGTACTATGCTTCTATGCCTCTATGACATGGGAAGTCCAGAGGCAAGGAGAGAACAGAAATTGAAGGAATGGTATGTGACTTGAGGCAAAAGACAGAGAAGACAGACATTTTAGTCAAGAAGAGGTTAATCTAAGAGGAAAAGAACTTCACAAGGCTTCAGGTCAGGAGGAGCAATGTTGCGGAAGTTGGTTGAGACAAGGTGGCCCAAAGGAGTGATTGCTAAGTATACATCAGGAATAGCCAGCATGGTGACCTTCAGAAGCCACTGGACTACAATTCCCATCAGCCCCTGCCAGCAAGGCCAATAGACAGTGAGACTTGTACTCCAGGACATCTAAAGGACACCATCTTGGCCACCCCGGCCAAGGGTAGTTCTAGAGTAGCTGCACCAACCTGGTGCCCTCCTGGCTTTCTGAACTACAATTTACATCATCATCATCATCATCATCATCATCATTATTATTATTATTTATATCCCGCCCTCCCCAGTCAAAGCCGGGCTCAGAGCGGCTAACAACAGTAAAATGATAAAACATTCTAAAATCATTTCATTATAAAATTAATTCCAATCAGATTAATGGCAACCATTGGGCTAGAGTTCTGTGAGGATTGCCAAAGGAGGGAGTCAGGCTGTGCCCTGGCCAAAGGCCTGGTGGAACAGCTCTGTCTTGCAAGCCCTGCGGAAAGATGTCAGGTCCCGCAGGGCCCTGGTCTCTTGGGACAGAGCGTTCCACCAGATCGGAGCCACAGCCGAAAAAGCCCTGGCTCTAGTTGAGGCCAGCCTAACCTCTCTGTGGCCTGGGACCTTCAAGATGTTTTTGTTTGAAGACCATAAGTCATAATCCCTGACCAAGCTGGCTATAGCTGATGGGAATTGTAGTCCAACAACATCAGGATGACACCAGACTGGAGAAGCATCTGTCACAGAAAATCTCCCCTTTGTGACTTTTACTGTCACTGAATTATTGCAACTGTCAGAAAGCAACAAGGACCAAAACCAGGGACGGGGACAAATTTTGATTTGAAGTAAGCACTCATGTTATTTGTTACAGGCTCCTAGCTTGAATCTAAAAAGTATTCCTAATATACACAAGCTATCTCCAATCTCTGATTTTTGCAGACTCTGAGAGTTTTGTACCAAACTACCTATAATATAGCCTCATTAAGCTCTGTGAGCTTATTATGGGGAACCTGCCTTAGATGGTAAAGCGCTTATTCCATCTATCCCTTATATGTGACAAGCTAAGCAGAAGAGGTTGTGTGCACTGTTTTTCAGGGGTGGGGAGGCTTTAGGATAGGTTTAGGCAAATTCATGGAAGAGAAGGATATCAATGGCTACCAACTCTTTCTTTCTTATTTATTTATTTATTTATTTAGATGTATGCATCTCTTGATTGTAAAAAACCCTCAAAGTGGTTTACAAAAGGTAAAGCCGTAAAATCAAGAAAAATGTACAACCCTACTTTCCAGCTTACAAAACTTAAAATACAGATAAAAATTACCTCTATGTTTTACCTCCGCTGCTGGGGGGGTAGAATTGCTCTTACACTCGGGTCCTGCTTGCATGCTTCTCATGGGTTGGCCACTGTGAGGACAGGATGCTGGACTTAAAGGAGCCTTTTCTCGGTCCTGCCACCCTCACAATAATGCTTTTTTTGGATACAGGAGAGGGCCTTTCCAGGGGCTGCTCCCAAACTTTGGAACTTCCTTCCTAGAGAAGTTAGACTAGCTCCCCCTGCTTGTTGTCTTTCTGCCAGCTGGTGTATGCTTTGGAGAACTGAACGTTTTTAAGGAAAGGGCTGGTGCTGTGATGCTTTTATTGGCGTGATCTGCATAGCTAGATTGAGAGAGTCTGCTAATGTTTAATTGTTTTTAATGATTGCCTGAGTCCTTGTCAGGGAAAAAGATGGGATGACAACAACAACAACAACAACAATTGGGTTGAAGTAATGTTACGGTTTTTTAAAATGAGATCAGGTGTAGCACCCTGCTGGGGCAGGATGGAAACAGACTGAACAGACCCATGTTCCTTCTGTGTGGGTTATTGCCAGACAGTAGGCAAACAGGGACATAGAATGCCAAGCAATTTCCAAAGTGCAGTGCCCATGTTTCCCCATATGACAGTTTGCATAACTTGGCACTGCTGGCATATGGCTGTCCCATTGCCTCCCTTTTACTGTCCTCGTTTCTCTTCCATCCTCTCCTCTGACTTTGCCAGGGCAGCTACAACCAAGAGAAGATACAACCTCATCCATCTTGGAAGCAGCATGACATGGCCATGTGGTTCTGGGTCCTTTCAGACAGTCTCAGCAGCGCCTTTCCTTGGCTTTCATACTCTCCACCTGTTGCCCATAATGCCGGCTCTCTCTATCTCTACCTCTCTCCCCGCACCCACCCACCTAAACCTGTTTTATACTGACTCAGACCATCAAGTTCATTGTTGCCAACACTGGCTGGCAGGATCTCTCCAGGCTTTCAAAAGGATTTTTTCTCAGCCCTTCCAGAAGATTATCAGGGATTGAACCATCTTCCTACATGCAAAGCAGGTGTCCTACCACTGACTTTGCCCACACCCAGTGGTGAAGCTGCATGCTCCGGCACTGCTGGGAGTGTGGCTGGTGTGCGTCCTGGGGGCGTGGCATGCTTCCTGGGGGCATGGCGCCCAGCACGGTGGGGAACAGTGGCAAAACTGCATGCTCTGGCACTGGGAGCGGAGAGCAGGTGGGGGCATGGCTTGCAGCACATCGCCAGCGGGGGTGTGGCGTGCAGCCCAGGGACGTGGCATGTGTCCTGGGGGCGTGGTGCCTGGTGTGGTGGGGGGTGTGTGGTGCGTGTTGGGGGGCGGCCGTGATGGTACCCCCGATGGTGCTGGGGGTGATGCGCTTCCCCGCCCCTGTTCCTCTGCCACTGGGGGGGGTGCGCAGAGCATGTCCGGGGGGGCGGCTGCGATGGTACCCCCCTCCCCGATGGTGCTGGGGGCAGTGCGCTCCCCCACCCCC